GGTGTACCTTTTTAAATCATCAAATGGAACAACACGGAGAGTTGGCAAATGTCGGCACAGATGTCTCTGTTTCTACAAGAAACACTGGTAATTTCATGTCGTGAATAATAGTTTTGTTATGTAAGCCTGTCTGGAGAGAAAGTAAAGTGCACTGAACACTTATTTAGAGACAAACACCTGCCAAAAATGAGTGAAGGTTCTTGGAATTAAGTTTGTGTTAATCTCATAAAATGTTCAACAAGTTTCTGACTGGCAAATAAAATACACAAATCAATAAAGTGCACGTGGCATGTTGGTGTTTCTAGTGTACAAAGCAACACTTTATAAAGTTCTTATTTAGAGCAAATTTATTCAGCCGCTGGGGGTGATTGCCCCTCCCTCGCATTCCTCCTGCCCCCCTCGGCCTACTTTTCTAAAAACATGTTGACCTGGATCAGCTCTCACAGTGAGAAATGAGGCGTCCGCCTGCTTCTGAGTAAATTGGCTCTTGTGGCATTCGAGGGGGAGTCATCAAGCAGGGCCACAGAGACGGCCAACACTACAGAAAATAGCTTCCCATCACCTGCTTATCAAATTTAAAAAGGACTGAAGGGAAGAGTTATTATAATGGTGTGGAGGTCTTTAGGCGGTGATTTCTTGTCATTTACCTCCTCGATGAAGTTTGCACTGGGAAAAATTCTGTGTGTCTGTGTGCCTGCATGTGTGCTTTTCAATGGTTTTCTATGTGTGATGAGGAGAAGTGATGGATGGTCCTGATGGAGACAGAAATACAGAAGTACCTCCAGCAAAATATGCCACTAAAATGCATTAATATCTCACTGCCACCTAGATCAGGGCTATTTCTATACACAGATGGCCGTATTGGCAGTAAGGACGGTCTTTCCTTCACCTTGCTCAGCATCATGTCCAGCTGCATGACTTAACACTCTTACTAGCTTAGAAGAGTTTCATTTATCTGTGGCTGCAACACAGGCTGTTTTTTTAAATCTTCATGCTTCTGCAGCATTATTATTTTTTGTTATTGTACTACTTTTATGTGCAGCCCACATTAATTTCTCAAGTGTAAGTGCCACCTCGTATGTGATTGTAAAACTTTGTGTACATGAATCATCAAACTGCTACCGTTACTGGCCAACACAACATTAACAACTTGTCTTTCATTCAGACTTGTTACACGGAGGACACTGTGTTCCTTCGACTGTGAGCTGTTCTCAGCCCACTCACTCCCTCTGTGTGCCTACTTAGTTAATCCCCTAACCTCTGACCTGTGCCCACACACGCTCACTCCTATATTACTGTACCCCAACCTTCCCCTACGCAAAGCAACACCCACCTGCTGTCTCATGAAACTTAACAGAAAGGAGTTTTAAAAATAAACCAGGCAGAGAGAGAGAGAGAGAGACTGTGTGTGTATTTATGTGCAAGAGAAAGAGCAGAAAAATAAGGTTTCCATGGAAACTATAGAGTTGTGTCTAATTGGCAATAACACCTCAGTGAGGTCTGAAATAAGAAACCATAAAGCCGTATGGAAATGGCTGACACTGCGCTGCCATGCTCAATCATCATTGCTTTTTTATTTATTGATATTTTAATTTTTTATTTATTTACAAAGACTGGTGGTATTCAATCTGTCCAGTGCAACAAGTGCAAAACGGTTTTGGCTGCAGCAGCCATTTCTTTGCCTTGTCTATTTCTGGGCTGAATGGTTATCAGAAATGAAAGCAGAAGAGGTTATTTCGGCACACATTTGATGGATTCAAGATCCACCCCACACAGACACAAACACCTACACACACACGCCAACCGGGCTGCCAAAAGAAAATCCCTCTTTCCATGAGAACTATGCTGCAGATATTAACATGTCATCTCAGACGCCCAAGAATACATTATCACTCTTCTGATTCTTTTACAAGTCAAAGACGAGCACTGAATCCTCACATCAAAAAAATAACTGAAATAAATAGGATGATTAACTGATACAATGAACAAAAATATAAATGCAACACTTTTGTTTTTGCCCCCATTCATCATGAGCTGAACTTTCTCTATGTATACAAAAGGCCTATTTCTCTCATATATCTAAAAATCTGTGTTAGTCCATCCACCTCACAAGTGTGGCATATCTAGATGCTGATCAGACAGCATGGGTATTGCACAGGTGTGCCTTAGGCTGGCCACAATAAAAGGCCACTCGAAAATGTGCACTTTCACTGTATTGGGGAGGTCTGGTGGGGGGGGGGGACCAGTCAGTATCTGGTGTGACCACCATTTGACTCACGTAGTGCAACACATCTCCTTCGTATAGAGTTGATCGGGTTGTTTATTATGGCCTGTGTAATGTTTGTCCACTCCTCTTCAATGGCTGTGCGAAGATGCAGTCAGGTTGAGACCCCGATGAGGACGATGACCATGCAGATGAGATTCCGTGAAACGTTCCTGACAGTGCAGAAATTCTTTGTTTATGCAAACCGATTGTTGCAGCAGCTGTCATTCAATTCACAGGCAACAGCTCTTGTGGACATTCCTGCAGTCAGCATGCCAATTGCTCGCTCCCTCAAAAAATCTGTGGCATTGTGCTGTGTGATTGAACTGCACATTTTCGAGTGGCCATTTATTTTGGTCAGCCTAAGGCACACCTGTGCAATACCCATGCTGTCTGATCAGAGAAGTGCTCGCTGACACATATTTTGACAGATTTGTGAACAATATTTGAGAGAAATAGGCCTTTTGTGTGCATACAGAAAGTCTGAGATCTTTGAGTTCAGCTCATGATGAATGGGGGCAAAAATAAAAGTGTTGCGTTTATAATTTTGTTCAGTGTAGTTACTGATTAATTTTCTTTTCGATAGACCAATCAATTAATCGACTTATCTCTGCAGCTCTGAATCTCCTGTGACTTGCAGGTCAACAGCATGTGCGTAATTCCTCATTTTCACAGTTACTTGACAAATTGAGGTTGCAGTAATTGGAACACTAATCTCCGTTATGTAACCTGTGTTTAACCAGACATAAGATATTAACCTCCCTTAAGTGACTTAATCGCCTCCCTTGATTGCATGCACATAATGCCTGAGAAGGATGATAATGACTTGAGAGAGGTCAGAGCAGTAAACCGAGGTTCACCGCCATTCAACCTCTCAGTATAAGCATCACTGTGTCATTTTTACTTTTCATTCTAAGTATTTGTGTAATGACTTGTAAAATCACGAGATAGGAAGTAAAAAGTACACTTTCATAATTAAGTCCATCATGACTTGTTAGTGTGGTCCCTGGCTGGGTGCTGTTGCTCGAGGCGAAGATGCAGGACAGAGTAGGAAGCAGTGAACTGGTCCGAAGTTGCAGAGATTGTAGTAATTACTTTCTTCCGCCTCTCTGATTATTTTCAGGCGACTGGCTATTCACTCATCACGGTTGACAGGGCAACTAATTTGTGTCTTCCAAAAACTACAAAATTGGAAAAATCCTCTACTTGAAGTGATTGTTTAGTCAGTTTGGATGGTAACTTTACATTTGATGTATGGTGAGAATATTCTAATTCTAAATATGTAGAGCACTGGGCAGAGGAGGGACAAAGTCATTCTTTTGCACATCACAGGTAACATGAAGTCTGGGGTCCAATGTTAAGACCAACTAATCACTCCTTAATATGATTGGCGGCGGCTGGCTTGATTCAAATTATATCCATTGCCAGGAAAATGAAAAGTTGATTGGCTGAGTTAAAATCACAAGTTATTGGTGTTAAAGGGGCACTCCACCAAATTTACTCACATGAAGTTTAGTCATCATGGAGAGCACTTCTCAGCCTGGCAAAAAGGTTTCATAATGTCTTCTGTAGCTTTGAAGGAGCTTTCGTAAGTCTAAAGAAAAAGGATTACCTCGACTTGGAGATTTAACAGAAAGGCGTTTGAAAAACAGGTGCAGTTACCAAGCAGGGGAAGTCAAATAGAAAGGAAATGTAGGAATTAACGTTTTTGGATCAAATAGGGATGTAAATGTAAAATGTAACATGTATCTGAAACCATCTAAGTGTCAAGTAAAATCAGTTAGCTTTTGTATCCTACAGAAGAAATATTGTAAAACTTAAGCACTAATTATTAATCTATGGTTGAAGAGCTCAAGTTGCCTGGTCATGGAAAAGTTGTCATATGCTGGTGGTGGTGATGGCGCAATGGAAAAGATACCTGCCTTTAGTGTGAGAGACCTGGGTTTAATCCCCCACTGTGACCCATACACCATTGTTTTCCTGAGCAAGACACTTAACCCCTCGTTGCTCCAGAGGCGTGTGACATATAGCAATTGTAAGTTGCTTTGGATAAAAGCATCAGCTAAATGAGTAAATGAATGAATGAAATGAATGCCACTAAAGGCCACCTACACCTACAATACAAAAAATATACTCACTGATAAACCTAACCAATTCTGACTTCCTGACCATACGATGAACCTAATGAACTAGAGGATGTACATATTTATTACTATTACTTTAGTCTTAGTGTTTTTTGTGTCTGCGTGTCTTTATACGTATATGTTTTGTTTTGCTTCTTGCGTCCTTATTTAATTAAAAATGTGAAAACCAAGAAATACTGTATATACTAATGTTTATATTATGAAAAAGGGGATAACATACATTAAATATATAAACTTACTGCAGATTACCGCAGTCAGTCAAGTTTATTTAACAATTGCCATTGTAAAAAAAATCAATATGAACGCAGTATAAAATGCCTCAGAGACACTTTTAAGTCTCTACAGGAATTTTGTAGGATTACAACAGTCTTCACTGGTGTTGTGGCAAGTATCTGTCTGAGTGGGCTGAAGTCTAAATTATACAATCCACATCTCCACACTCAGGGGAAAACAACAGCATATATATAAATAGGAACATAATCAGATCTCTCTTTCTTGCTTTCTCTCTTTCTCTCTCTCCCTCTCTCCCTCTCTCTCTCTTTCCCACACACACACACACACACACACACACACGCACTGGCAGATATCGGGGCAGACGCACAACCACCAGGCAGGAGCGACTCTGTTCAGTGACTATGGAGCGACAAGACATAGCTCAGACAGGGGACATGTACGAGTTTGTGCAAGAGATTTCTGGGAGCAGATTTCTAAATACGGTGTTTGTCTATTAAAGGAGAGAAGAGAGGACGGTGCCAATAGTAAACCTACTCAAATATCTTTTTATGAGGATGAAACTAATGTGAGTCTTCAAGTGATTCAGTCTGCAGCAACACCAAGGTGAGTGTTTTAAATCTTCATATTTTTTTTGTTTGTGGTAACGGTTGTCGGCTTACTGGGACAATTAAAAAAACAAACACTAATAATCGTATAACCCAAAAGGGCATTTAAAAAAACATGTTATGATTAAAAAATACTTATTACTTACCACTTTAAACCTTTTTCAAATTTCAAAACTGCATATTAAGAGACTGCCACCTTGGTAAGTCCTGCAATAACTAACTGACCACTCAGAAAACACAATCAATACTTAAACAAAACATTCCTGTGGCAGAGTTAAGTCGACCGTAAAAAAAAACTGTGTGTGTAAACAGATGAAAGAGAGGAAAAGATTTTAAAAGCAAAAATCATTTTCAAGGTTAGGGTAGTATTCAGCCCCCCATGCCCCTCCTCCCCTTTGCTCCCAGCTGTCGATTATTCCTGCAGGCTTTGGATTGATTTTCAGCACTGGACGGCTCCTGTGGCCTCAATGAAACCAACACACGTCACAGCTGCTGCTTAGTTTGCAAACTGCCCCGTCACAACTTCTGGTTGCATTGTGTGAACCATTTCTCGACATTTAGGCCTTGTTCCTGCAGTGATGCATGTGCAAAGATGGAAATGTCACTTTTATCTCTGTTGTTTTAAATGGGTACAACACTATTTATACACATTTTAAAGCTGAGGCAACTGCGTATGACCCAAACTTGTAGTATGGCTCAGGAAATCTTCTATGAAACTGATATATCAAAGTTAGACGTTATCCGTGTTTGCAGTAAGAGCTTTATTTCAATAAAAGTAGTAATACCACACTATAAATATACTCCATTGCAAGTAAAAGTACTGCTTTCAAAGTTTCATTGCAGTAAAAGTATATAAGCATTAAGGATTAATGTCCACCATGATAGAAATGTGTCTGTGACCACTCCTTTGCAAAATAAAAGCTGATTTGTTCAATGTATCATCTCAGTGGCATAAAAGTTCTGTTTTGTTTAGTAGGATAGAACAGAAATTGATTTTGTAAATGCACAAAGAGAAAAAGTTTTAATTATCCATGTACTTAAAATATAAAAAGAAAAGTGCTCAATATGCAAAATGGCCTTATTTGGAGTATAATATGCATCATACTATTACTATTTTAGAGTATCATTATGTATGCATTAATATGTAAAGCAGCAATTTAATGCTTTCAAGGAGGAGCTCATTTCAACAACTGTCAATAATAATGCATCATATTTTACAAACTAAACATGTGTTTTATAAGTGTGAATATACTAAAAAGTACAATATTTGCCTCTGATATTTAATACAGTAGAAATATAAAGTAGCAGAAAATGGAAGTTCTCAAGTAAAGTACAAGTACCTCAAGTACAGCACTTGAGTAAATGTATAAAGTTACATTCCACCACTGCATTATGATCTTTTTTTTACCTTGTGAAGAGAACACAAAAGGGCTACTGTCCTGTCCATTGTTCATCTATTACTGTGAATCTATCTAGTGTTACTTCTAGTATTTGTGTGTGTGTGTGTGTGTGTGTGTGTGTGTGTGTGTGTGTGTGTGTGTGATGAAGTTCTTCAAGTCAAAATAAGTACAGGTCCCTATTTTTGCTTCTCTGTAGGACTAGGACACTGTGTGGACCCAGTGCCGTCCTTAGGGACGTGTAGGCCCTTTTCAAATGTCAGTTTTAAGAGGCTGTGTTGTACGGAGACACAGAAACAGAGGAACAGGAAAACAAAAGAGAATCGCCTCCGGAAAACATGGCATGACCAAATGCAACATTTTCACACATTCCTTTAACTTTCAGAAAAGCAGTTACACTGGGAAGAGAGAAAAGCCAACAACAAAGTTTTGTTTTGTTTTTTTTACACTTTTGGTTTGTGTGTGTGTGTGTGTGTAAATCTTCTACTTTTCTGTAAATGCCATTACACGTTGTAGTACCATCCACTGACGTCATAATCTCTTCATCTTAATCTGTATTTATTCTCACACTCTGTCCAACGTGGAAGACCTCATACTTTGTAAAGCCCATTACTTTAGCCCATACGTGTATTCAATATATTATCTTTTTTCTCTTTCTTTCTTTCTTTCTTTCTTTCTTTCTTTCTTTCTTTCTTTCTTTCTTTCTTTCTTTCTTCATCCATCCCTCCCTCCCTCCCATCTCATATCATTAGATCTCAGATTACACAAAAGGGCTTAAGCCAGGTCACACAGCAACTGTGGTGAACCTTTCATATTGTTGTTTGGATTGGGAGATTAAGGGACATAGTAATCTGTTGGGGTTTTTTTTGACATGGTCTTCCTCCAGTCTTTCTTTTGCACTGGATTATGTTGTGATATATGTCTGTTTAGGTCCTCTGAGATACTTGAATAAAAGCTACCTCAGACACGTTCCTCTGTGTCTTCAACACACTGTGCATTAATAACAATCTTTATTTGTAATGGAACTGCAGGTTTTGATGCTTCTCTATGATATAGGCAGCATGGTAGCAACTCAAAGGAGAGGCCACATTTCACCACTCCTCTCCTCTCCTGTCCTTGGTCAGTTTATCATCCCCTCCTCACAAGTTGTCTCACTGGATAAACCATCACCAGAGAAATGTTCCTATGGAGACGGCTAAAACAGTAACTATGATCAACCATTAATTACTGCCGCTCCTCCCCAAGGGCTCCTTTCAGCTGGGAAAAAAAAAGAGAAAATCAGTCAGGCATACACCGACAAAAACTATTTGTAACCATTAGCATTTATAAAACAAAGCCACAAAGCCACAAACTACAACTTTAATTTCTACATCGTGGCAGTTCTACGTTTTTCATTCCCATGAATTACAATATAAACATTGCTAGTAGGCTAAAGTGTGTCACCGGGGAGGCATGGGACAAATATGGATTAAATATTTGATGAGTCATAGAGACTAAAACAAAAACATGAAAGTATTAAAATGAGCTGCATTCAAGGGAAACAGTCACATGATCCATTTGTGAAGCTTTTAATTTCTCCCTCCAGATGATGTCAGAGAGGAGTTTGTGTAGCTTTCATAGATTGCGTTTTGACAACACAAAACCAACTCCAGATTCACTTACAGTAATAGCTTTTTATTTCTGGAGCTTTAAAAAAGAGTTTGCGCCCAGTAGTACTTTAAGGACGAGCTAGTAAGTGGACATTGAGTGTGGATGCTTTTGTTAAACTACAGTTTTAGCTGTTTGTGTAAAATCCTGTTTCACAGTCTTTGTTGTTTTGTCAACCTGATGGTCTTCATGGCAACAACAAATTTCCACAAATTGCATTATGTTATCAGGTGTTTCCCCTTTTTTGACCAACAGGTAGTCAAAAGTACAGTTAAATCAACACCTCTCTAACATTTTTAACAGTGACTGAAACAATATTCAGTATTTGTTACAGTCTAACTATTGTGTCCACCGGCTGTGTGTCCAAATCTGCTATTAATGCTATAACATTATTAATAATGAGTTTTGTTAATACAATCTAAATTTCATTCTTCAGAAATAACACTTAATTTCAGCAAAATGTAGTTGCTTTTAGTAAAATGTAATATATAATATAATAACATCATACAATCCAACATAAACTTGCACATGTAAATAACTGCCACACTGCACATAGTCTCTCTTCTTTTATAACTTGTACATTTTGTTTACAGCATATTTTTTATTTATATATGTTTATGGCACCTAGGCACCAAAGCAAATTCTTTGTCCTTGTCAAAAGTACTTGGCAATGAAGTTCTTTCTGATTCTGATTCTGATGTTTATTGTTACAGTAAAAACTCATCTTTGCCCACCGCTTAGCAATATACAAATATGTTTGTATATTGCTATATGTATGTATAATATAAGTGCCATCTCAATTACATATAAAACAAGTTCCCATTTTATTTTCTATTGTCCTTTTTACTGGGAACTATGCAATGTTTTTAGTAAAAAAAGATAAAAAACAGACATTGATTTTAGGGTTAGGGTTCTTTACATTAATATGGTATTTGAAAGCCTATACAAGTACATATAATGTTGTATATAGGTTTTTACTTTTGCTTTTGTATACCAGAACAGACATTTTATGTTCTTCTGGTGTTTGATAAATAGTGGTGTCTTGTAATTCCATGTGGGATGGACCAAATGATTGGCATGACACATAAATAAATATTCACAACATAAATACATAGAACAATAGATACAATACCAGCATGCTGATATGGAAACCCTGGGGTGTTCTTCACCAATAGCATCAGTTGATGCAAGAGGGAGACAAACATGGCCGGCTGCCAAAGATGTGGGTCTGACCTGCGTGACCAGCCATATTGGCTGACGTCTTTAAGAATTCTGTAAGAAAGGTCGAGATTTCACGCAGAGGACACTCTCCTCCATCTGTGGGAGTTATCGAGCTGACGTAATCATCTGCCCTTTTAGGATTATCCAGTCGAAAATCGCCCTTTATCCAGCTAATCAGCAGCTAGTTCATAACATCTGTCCCTGGTGTAACATGAAAAAGTCTGGAAGCATCACACACAAGGTTGGCACACAGGCCACATTACATGACACCAAACCCCATCAAAATCTATATGTTTGTGTGTGTGTTTATGTGTGTGAGTTTCTAATGCTTGTAATGGATGTGACAGCAAAACAGAAAAAAGGCTTTTAAACTGCAGGTGTCCCGAAGGTTTCCCAAGACAATCTGTTACTCCCTTTCACTACAGTAATGCAGGCCTGTCCTGTCAACTAATTCATCTCAAACATGATTCACGCACAATGAAACATAAACCACTAATGCCCCTTTGCATTGCGTGTTACTGTCCATTTATTGGTTATGCAAGCTGGTGCTTTCTGGTTCTCCCGGTTCCCAGCTTGCTGACATAATAAGCCGAGCGAAATCACCCTCCAAAATTGTCACCCGGCCAAACTGCAGATCAATTGTTCCTCTAACAGTATATTACCACTGATTCGTCTCTTTTTTAGACCTTTGTCCCTTCCACTGTCTGTCTGGTTTTCCACTCCTGGTTGGTCTGAAGGTCCCTAAGGCTAACCACTAGCAATGACCTAATCAATAAGCTTTAATCACAGAAAACTGTCTGGTCTACTGAGTGCATTAGGGCAAGGCCAGCATTTGCATGGAGAGATTTTAGAGTTTTCTAATTTCAGCCATTAGCTTTGGTCCTGTCTAAAGTATCACAACAACTACTGGATTTATTGCCATGACATTTTTATGCCCTTCAGCATACGTTCTAATGACTTTAATGATCCCTTAACTTGGCATCATATGTCATTATGTCAAATACTTTGGTTTATGACAAAACATGTGACCTTGGTAAAAACTATCTGCCACAGCAACATTTTGCATGAGAACCTTGTCATTGTGAGTGTTGCATGTTGACGTTAGCATTTAGCTCAAAGCACTGCTGTGTGAGTACAGCCTCACAGAGCTGCTAGCCTTTCTGTAGAATTTTTTGTGCGTCCATGAATAGCCATCTGTGTTAACCCTTGTACTGTCTGTTTTGTCTTGTTTTGCTCAAGGAAAAGCCCTGTAACTTCATACATACTGAATTTACATACTGAATTATTCACCATTCTGATGATTAAAGAAATACCTTTGTTCACAGAAAATGTATCATGAGAAGACAATGCTGATAACGAATGCAAGACAGACCTGAGCTTACTGCCTCCCTGTCCAGCAACAGTACTTTAATGGTTGGAACTGCCCGCCCCAACCTACATTACTGCCCTCGCAGACACAGCCTGATGATCACCGGTGCCATGGGAGCGGTGCGAGTCAACAGGTAAGAGAGAATGGGGAATAAATCTATGTCAGTGGCCACAACTGCTTTATTGAAGAAAAGAAAAAGAAATTTGCAGTTATTTTCGTTCCTTTTCACTGAGGAAAAAAGAGTCCATTCATAAATTACTGCTGCAACCACAAAATATATTAAAAGCATTTGTATCGCTTTCTGATGTCACCCTTTTTAAAGGGTTTAAAATGATTAAAAAATCATTAACTAATACTTAAAGCAACATTATGAAGAAATGTTTTTTGTGTGATTTTGCGGACCTACCATTTCAGAGTGTAACGCTGTCATAAATAAGGACAGCTGTACACAGGCATTTCTTATGATTTCATTACTTAAGATCAAAAATGAGCAAGTCAAACAACTTTGCTAACACAGCCAAACATCAAGCACTGCACAAGCACTGTGTACACAGAAGGAAGGCCGACTCCGTGTCTGGCTTGCAGCCTTTTATTTCACAAAGCCCTCGCTAACATCTTGTGGCCTCTTGCTCGGTCACTATCTTTTTCTCTTCTAAGTGTCCATTAGCTACGTTGTGTTCATAAAGGCTGTTGAGCCCGGTTATGTTGCCTGCTCGGCTCCAGCACGACACCGCCGCCATTTTCCACTAGCAGCAGCCGCATAATGTTGCTTGAAACTTGGGTGTCAAGCTAGCCAACAAAGCAACCAATAGCACTTACAGTTTTATTACAGATGCTGAGTGTGTTATCCTCCAACAACGTCATTTTCCATCTCTTAAAGGACTTAAAAGACTTAAAGGAACATCTTCCAGGGGGGAAAAAAACTCACTGAGATAAAATCTCTTTTCCAAGGGCGCTCTGGCTAAGAAAGGGAGACTCATGACCCTTTAATGATCATTTTATTAGTGTGTGTAAGTGCAGAATTGTTTCTTAACCTTTCTAAATGACTTATGTAGCACTTGTTTACATCTGCAGGCTTGATATCTTATTAGAAAGTGAAACTCGTGAATTTGTTAATGGCAACAACAAGAGATTTCTTACAGCCTTGCAACCCAAAAGCTGTGCTCGATATTGACTTATTACTGATCAACAAAGCATTAGGTAAATTATTTACAAACCATTCATAAAGACATTAGTTAGAATTTATAAACCGTTTATTAAATGTGACGACAATGCATGGTTTGTCAAGCTTTGGCTCATTCAAGTCATCAGTTGAAATTTTCCATCATGTATTTTTCATTTGGGTCAACAAATGGTATTTACAACAACACTTTGTCTCTCTGTTGCATGTGGGTACGATTTAGTGACAAAAGCAAATAAGCACAGCATGCAAACTGTCAATTGCCCTGAACTCATTTTCTCCCCGCTGTTCCTGCAGATACAGCATCGTTTCCACTGATGAAGATGCCCTGAAGATCTCCAGCCTGGGCCTCTACAATGGCCACAGTCCTCTGACTCAGCAGACATTATCAGGGGCCTGTATGCGGGGCGAAGAAGGTGGAGAGTGTCCAGGAAGTGATGAGGGAAGAGGGGCTTTGTCCTTGAGAGTGACAAATGAGCCAATAGGCCACAACAGCTGCCGCGCTTCACCCTCGTGTCGCCTGGGCCTGGATGTGGGCACTGGCCGCCTACGCAGCCGCTTTGTGAAGAAGAACGGTCAGTGCAATGTAGTGTTCAACAACATGGAGGATAAGCCACGACGATACTTGGCTGATATTTTCACCACCTGTGTGGACATACGCTGGCGCTACCTGCTGCTCATTTTCACCACCACCTTCCTTCTGTCTTGGCTGCTGTTCGGCCTGGTCTTCTGGGGTGTGGCACTCGCTCATGGAGACTTTAACCTTCGTATCCCTGTGAAGGAAGGAGATCCTCGAAGCAACATAGAGGAAGGAAAAGACGAATGGCGGCCATGTATTCTCCACATCCAGGGTTTTATTGGGGCGTTCCTCTTCTCCATAGAGACCCAGACCACCATTGGATATGGTTTCCGGTGTGTCACAGAAGAGTGCCCTGTTGCTGTGGTGACCGTGGTGGTCCAGTCCATCGTGGGCTGCATTATTGACTCCTTCATGATCGGCACCATCATGGCAAAGATGGTGCGGCCTAAGAAGCGGGCGCAAACCTTGCTGTTCTCCCATCATGCCGTCATCGCTCTGCGGGATGGTAAGCTGTGCCTCATGTGGCGCATGGGGAACATGCGTAAGAGCCACATTGTTGAAGCACATGTACGTGCTCAGCTCATTAAGCCACATGTGACGGCGGAGGGCGAGTACCTCCCATTGGAGCAAACAGACATTGATGTCGGCTATGATGACGGGCTGGATCGGCTGTTTCTTGTGTCACCGCTGGTGGTGGTTCACGAGATCAACAAGAACAGTCCTCTGTATAAGATGAGCCGCAATGACCTGCAGAAGGAAGACTTTGAAATCGTGGTCATCCTGGAGGGGATGGTGGAGGCCACAGCCATGACCACTCAGGCCCGTAGCTCCTATTTGTCCAAGGAGATCATGTGGGGCCACCGATTTGAGCCTGTGGTCTTTGAGAAGGGTGACCGCTACCACGTGGACTATTCCCGCTTCCATAAGACCTACGAAGTACCATCTACGCCTCACTGCAGTGCCAAGGAACTGAGCCAGATGACGGGTCGTGGCGGGCAGTCCTCATCCTCCAGCTCGAGTTACTCCCAGTCTCCATCACCATTTGCCCCGAGGGCAGCCCATCACCTACTTGGCCCTCACTCCCCCAGCGCTTTCTGCTACGAGAATGAGGTAGCTTTGTGTTGTGGGGACGATGAGGATGAGGAGCATGTGAAAGGAGACAGCCTAAATGTAAGAAGTGAGAGAGAGGTAAAGATGAGAGATGACATTCACTTGGGTTTCAAAGAGACATTTGTGGAGGACCAGACGGTGGAGATGCTATGTGTTCTGGACTCAGAGAATCAGATCAGCCTTGACAGACTACAGCCCACCCTACCTTTGTACATCAGCAGAGAGTCAGGAGTTTAATCGTTCATAAGGGCTGCGCTTTAATTTGTTTCCTCTCTATGTCTATGTGCATCCAACCAAAGTATTAAACTGGTGTACAAATAACAGATTTTTGCAGCTGTCACAAACTCCACTCAGCTTCAATTCATAACTTGCTCTGGTTTCAGGTGTTGTACACTTTCTGTTGTAACATCAGCATCTAGACAACTCACAGCTTGTCTCTGATCGGGCTTTCTTGTTTTGTTCAATATGACAGTGTATGATCTACAGTTAAGTCAAGCTTTTTGTTCTTGATTTCCATTCAGATTTTGTAAATATGATGAGCTTTTGTTTTGATTTTTAAATTATTATGCATCATATACAGATAAATGTTATAACAGAAAAATCTATTTATTTAAAGGAACCATGACAGAAATACTCAGCTTCAACACACTTATTTTTCTCTGCATAAAAATAAATTAATTATGTATTTTGAACTTCTGTCTTCCTGCCTGAGTTCTGTTTCTTTTCACATTTAATAAATAAGGTATTTTCTTTTTCTAAATGTATCGGTGTATTCCATGATAGACATCAAGTTCAAATACAAAGAAGTCCTGAACCATAAAAAAGGAAATCAAAAGGTTAGTCAAACGTGTTTAAATAAAGAACAAGCACTTTATTCTTACTTTTATCAATAGATACAAAAACTTTGCAACAGTGTGTTGTTTTGTATGAATAAAGCACCTAATAAACAACAGTATGTACTGTTAATGCTTGAATTGTCTCTGTTGCACATGTTCTCACTGGTTTAACAGTCCATCTGTGCTATTACCACCTGTTTCTGATTAGACAAGATCACACACATCTAATTTGTCTTGACTTTGGATCAAAACATGGGCGGTTGCTCTCTAATGAACATGCCTGGATTACCAATTGGGCAAAGCAAGCAACTGCTCCGGGTAGACTGTTGGTTGTTTGGTCAGTCCATGACTTTGGTCTAGACTGAAATATCTAACTGGGATAGTTATGAAATTATCTACAGATAATGATTCATGATTTTCAGATGAAGCATCATTATGATTTTTGTGATTCCCTGACTTTTCCTTATCAGGTCAAACTTTTAATTTGTTCAATACTTCGATTTATAACCAAAAACCTGCAAATGAATGACATTTCAGCCTCAGCTGTCGTTTGTTTAGTGCTAATTAGCAAATGCTAACTTGCTAATACATTTAACTAAGGTGGCAAACATGGTAAAGATTACTTCAACATATTAATATTGTTTCTGTGAGCACGTTAGCATGTTGACAATATCAGGGAGTGTCAGTTCTTCATGAACACATTTTTCTGCCAAAGTGTGTGTTTTTTCAAATGAAAGATTTCTGTATTAATTTTTTTTTTTCTGTGCTCTTTTCGGTGATTGGAAGTGGCTCAGCTGGGAAAAGCTGGTTTCATCATTTGAATCAGACTCTGACAACAGTTGATGGGCTGTTTGATCACTGTCAATCAAATCTGATTAAGCCACACCCACACTGTCTTGATGGAGCAGATTAACCGACTTTTCCAGCATTAAACTATTAAAAAGATAACACCTAAAATTCAGGGGCCTTACTTATAAGTTTTTGATCTGACGTGCCTAAACAGTTTAATCCAGCCATGGAATCAAGGACAAACCCAACATCCCCCATCTAACTTAGTTACAATCCCTCTTTTACAATGCAACTCTTTGATGACCCAAATACAATCATTTCTCTCTGGTTGTGTCTCAATTCAAAAGTCCCAGAGAGTGAAGGGCAGACAGAAATAGATGAAAAGTTAGAGGTAGATCGCTTTGGGAGGAATATAAGCGGGACAAAACAAGAAGTGTAGACAGAGAGAACTTATCAAAAAAAACATCAGGAGGCAGTGAAGTCCATTGAACTGTAATTTAGAGGACAGTTTCTGGCTGTTGTACAAGCTCCCCCATGTGGTTCAACAGTGCCACCACAGTGAGAAACAGTGCCAAAGTACTCTATGATGCTGATTTATTGATCACTAAACAGTTTTCTACATGGATTTGTTGGTTTTGGTTATTCTGTCCTTTACCAAGATCAGCATCAGGACATTTGACATACAACACTACCCTTTTCAGGATGAGCTTGCAGCCTAATGTTTGCCTGTGAGCCACTACTTCATTATACAGTGTGTTGTCCTTCATTTCATCAAAAATTTAAAAAACATTACATTTGCCCACAAAAAAATTATGTTAATAATTTCTTAAATCTTTCCTTTTTATCTTGAATTACTGCAGAGTTTTACCTCTTCAGGCTCCTAACAATAAACAATTTTAGATGACAAAATCACAAAATCAAGAGTGCAACCAGTGACCAAGGCTCACAAGCAGTTGGGAAGCACTGCTTTATGATATAAACTCAAATGATAGCCCTTAGTAGGGTTTTACTTTGTTAAAGGATAGGTTTATATTGTTTCAATTCAGTCTAACTAGCACAGCACTCCAGGACCAGGTCCAGAGCTGAGGCCAGTGCCTTGGTAGTGCTTCTAACATGCATGCTTTTTGATGTGGAAGGAAACAAGAGTACCTGGAGAAAAGCCACGCCTCTACACAGAAAGCACTGGTGCTAAGACTCTGACCAAGACGCTGTGAGGTGACAGAACTAACCTCTGAGCCACTGTTCCTCATTAACATGATTGATAATTAGGCCGATGTCATCCTCTAATCCCCCCCGCTGCTCTTTTGAGAGAGAGAGAGAAACTCCCTCCACTATCTTCCACTCCTGTGATCTAATAAATTGATGCGGTCAGTTGTCCTGTCCACTCTAACAAGCCATTTCCCCTCCTTGAAATCTACCTCTTCTCCCTGCTGTCATCCCATCCTTCTCTCCCCGGCAGTTTTCTGATGCTGGTTAATTAACCGGATCGTCACCACCCCCCTGTCATCAGTGTCCGTGAGGGAGAGCAGCTGGTGACCTCCGTGACCTCTGTTAGGGCTGCTAATGGCTGACTAGGATCTGGCCTAATAAGGTGGTGTGTGTTCATCTTCATGTAGGTTAAGTATGTGAGTGTGTGTGTGTGCTTTCATGTGTGTGACACCCTGTATTCCTGCGTGCCCTCTCTGGCCGCACTGGCTGTTTGTGGCCTCGGGCTGTGCAGCCAGAGCCGGTGACAGTGTGGGTGCTCAGCAGGGGACAGTATTTAGGCACTGGGAGCTGTGGCCGGGGGAGCTGTGGTTCCATAATGAGCTGTTGTGTGTTGTGGCGCTGTGAAGCAGCTCACTGCGGGGACAGAGGAGCATTGTTGTGCTGCTCACCACAGCTCAGCTCAGCAGAGGAGGCCTGACTGAACCAGGCTGTGAAGCACCACAGGGCAAATGTCTTCTGGATACCTCTGTCTGTCTGCGGCTTGTTCTGTCTATCTGCCCTCTTTCGTCTTGTATTTTAGTCTTATTTTCTATTGAAGTCATCAGCACAGTTGGTCATGTATCTACTGTATGCTTGTGTTTTTATTAAAATTAAATATTAATGTCCTACTGGTCTGGGTGACAATGATGTTGAGCTTGCAATTACAACGTCACTAGTTTGTGTCTGGAAACTTTGTCCCCTCATTTCCTTCAAATCAAGGCAAAAATGCCTCCATCAATACTTGACACACCGTATATTCCAACATAATTTAGTGCACGGCTGCATTACAAAGTGGTCAAAGGAGACAACTCAAAAGTTTCCAGCTTTCTACTGTTTGGAGTATGCAGCACTAAAATTGACTAAGTTTGACTTGTGACTTGTATGTGTTTCTGCTAACCCCCATAAAACCACAAAATGTCATTTTTGCACTTCAGTTTTTGTACAAATTAAACATTAAACAACACTAAATTAAACAAACAAGACTCAACGTGTTAATTCTTGAGCTCTATATGTGTTGGTAGGTGGATTTGCTACCTTCAAACAGAACCAGGCTAGCTGGCTGCTGGCTGTAGCCTTATATTGACATGTGTGGTATCAATCGTCTCGTCTAAAGTGTAAGGTTTTCCAAAATGTCATAAAATTTCTTAAGGGAGAGTCCTGCTTTATTATCTTTACTGAGATATATATATTCAGTTTTGTACTTCTATGTTACAGTGCTGTGTTTTATCAAATTTCCACACAGTAAATCTGATACCAGGTAGGTATTTTAGCATATTCTAGCATAAGGGGTTTAGTGGGGGTACAGCATCTCACTTCCTCTTTGTGCAGGTACCAGTTCTTTACTGGAACCCACAAATTCAGGACGTATAATTCAAATTCAGCGTGCTATGGCTGCACTGCTTTTACACTACATTATGGAGATTTCATAAATGTGTATATGTGATGTGACCTACAGGAGAAGCCGACCAAGTCAAATGCATCACACTGACTTTGACTCATATTTTTGCATGCCTTCCACTTGTCCGTCTCTTTTTCTGCTCACCAGCCGAGTGTTTGCGAGCCTGAACACCTGTCTGTCCCCCACTCTGCCTGTCAGTTTGTCTGGATGTTTGTGCAGGATATTTCTCTGGAAATCTGACAAACAGAAATCTTTCTGCCCTTTACAAGCTGTGTGACTGTTATACAGTCATCTCCTATTGTCACATAATGTAATTAGGCAGCTCATATTCATTAATGTATTTTTAAAAAGAAGAAATCAAAGTGACAGACATAAGGAATGTCATAAATCACCATATTTCTCACTCTCTACTCCCAAATAACCCATCAATCTTTCTGTCTTGTTGCCTTTTATCTCTCCTTCAGCTCTGACAACAACAGACTCTTTCATGTAGAAGTCTTTTCCTCAGACCCCTCAGGCTCTCTCATTCTTTCTCTTTCGTTCACGCAGACTAATTAAATGTTCTGAAGAAGAACTCATGATTGGAAAGTCTGCGCTGCTTTCTCTCTGTCTCTTTTTGTCTCTCCCTCTCTGGCTCGTAAAACAGTCTTGTAAAATCCATGTTTGAGTTATTGTTCGTGTTTCTAAAAATCAAGACACAGATGTTTTTGTTTTCATCAAAAATATCACTTTATTTGTGGTTTTAGATCGATAAATGTCAGACAAAATATGCTCTCATCTCAGTTATTTCAATTTTTCTTTTGTCATAAACTTTTAATAGAGTGTTGACAGGTGAAATATAAATCCTTTAATAACTGGGGTGCGATTAATGATTTTTAATGATTTTAAGTTACAAAGTGTTTTACACGAGGAAGATAAAGGCAACAATAGATTTAAAGAGGCACAGAAGCTGACATATACAGACAAGGAGAATTATGTGTTCAACCCACAAAATGAAATTAAAATGCTGCTAAAGATCCAGAGTCCCACAAAGTCAGGCATAAACATTCATAAACAACAGTTTTAGGCAGTTCACGTCAACCTCATTCAACACAGACTTCACAACGAGTACCAGAAAAAGTGAGCATAAGTAAGCTCCTCCTTTCGACAGGAATCCACAACTACTTTGTAAATCCAATAAACGTTATTTTTCAAGCAGAAATTGTGAAAACAATGGCAAATATTCTCCTGTTCCAGCTTCTCAAATGAGAGGATTTGCTGCTTTTCTTTGTCGTACGTGTTTAGAAACTAAATATCTTTGGGTTTTTGACTGTTGGTCGTACAAAGCGAGACATTTTAAGACGTTACTTTAGATTTTGAAAGCTTTGATGGACATTTTTATCAAATTTTTTTCATAACTGATATATTAAATGATGAATTAAAAAAACTATTAGCAGATAAAT